CTAATAACCGTCAATAACACTACAGTTAGGTACTGATAATAATTTCAGAAAAATGTTTATACCAATTTTCAGTTGATATTTTCAATAGTATGAATCTTTGTAAAACAAAGACTGGAAGTATAATTAGAATTGACATATTCATTAATTCTTCTACATGATTCCCCTCCCTTGTTTTTGATCTAGAATTAATTATATTTCGGTTGTTACTGTTGTTACTTAACAACGTTAAATTTTATCATTTATTGCGGATAAAATTTTTCAAGTTCCTTCTTAATTGAAGCTATTAATGGTACTGCTGGATCTTCTAGTGGAAGTTGACAATCTGTAAGAATACGTCTTGTGTCTACATCTGGCAGATTAGGTCTATGAAATGGACCAGCGCTTAATGGTCTCGAGCTCCAACCACTACAAGGTTGAGATAATAAAGAATGTGCATTTTCTGCCATTCTTCCCTCTATATGTTTTCCTTGCAATAATGTACGAAATTGTGCCTTTGTTTCCGTTGATGGTGACGACATGGGACTGAAAATATAAGCAGAATCATATGTTGTAATATTTTCAACATATGTACAGCAAATCTGCTCAAAGGGAATTCTGTGTCAAAAAATACAAAAAAATTGATGTATTATTTTATACTTATACATATAAAAGAAAATACCTAGTATAAGCTGATCTTCCTTTAGTTTCCGAAAATATCGTGAGAACATCTTGTGCATTCGTTGCAGAAGTTGGTCGTGTTGTACACTGAATTTCAGATTTTAGATCTCTACTTCCAAAAAGACTAAATGAATCTTCAAGGAGTTCATGAAGTCTTCTTCTTGCTCTACCCACAGGTACAGATGGTACTGCATAAGTTGGATCAATATCTGTTCCTGGTGTTTCATTACCTTAAATTATGTCAAACAAATAACATTTTTAATGTTTTATTTGCCTAAATACATTATATATAAACTATTTTATATTATTTCATAAGCAACTTTAAATTTAAACTGTAAAACTGTGAAAAGTATAAAGACGATCATTGGATTTGAGAAGTAACATTGTAATGTTAAGAATATGTAATATTAAAAGAGAAAAATTATACCTTCGATGCATAAATTTTGCTTCCGAAGATTCCAAACTATAGGGCCTACTACTCCAGGATCTTTGGTAGCACTCGACGTTCGTGCAAAAAATTTATCATCACCTCTGTAGGCACTCGTGTGATCGTGCTCCCGCCTTACCAATTCTGGAGAATCTATATCCAAATGTTTGACCTAAATGAAACAAATATTTGTTTAAAAATCTGTTAAAAATAAATAACTGCGATAAATATATGTTACCTGTCTTACATTACATTTTTTTTTTTAAATAACAATATTTATCGCAAGAAATATTATATAGAAGTAAAAGAATTTGAGTCACCATAACTGGTTCCAGCACTTTAGAAAGTGGTTGAACACTCTTCAAGCTAGGAAATTGCTTGCAAGATGGCATAGAAAGGTAAGAATGCGGTGAAGCCGTAGCTTCTTCTTCGTGTCTCGTGTAATTATTTTCTAAAGAATTTAATGTTTCTAAATGGTCGACAATTACGTCCGCCGAATCAGATGTTCCAGGTGTATCGATAGCATTTGTTTGGAATATTCTTTCATGCACCAATCTACAAATAAACAACAGCAATTAAAAATATTTATCAATCAAAATTTCTAATGAACACTCTTTTGTACCTCGATTTGTTTGAAGGATGTTCCCATGAATTAGATTCTTGAGCTTTTCTTTCCTGCTCTTCGTCGTTGTTGCTCGAAACCTCATAAATTCCTGCCTCGAGACTATCGGGAGTTTCAAGAGAGACCGGAGTCCTCGATAAACTGCCAGGAGTATGTCTCTGACTGGTACCGTCAGTCTGCAATGAAGGAATGAATGTGCAAACGATCGATAAAACTACTTTGTAACACCTACAAGATGTTCTCACGATATTCCACCCTCAGAACACCCATCAAATTTCATCTCGATTTAACTGTACATGAATTTATGCCTTCCACAATAAGTAGTATAAATATCGAATAAATATACCTTGATTTCCATTTCTGATGTTGAAAAGGCGTTATCAAGGCTAGCATTTGCTTGTATATACTCCCGCTTCTTTTTTAAAATATTCTGGTTTGGTGGTGCAGCTACTGCACTGTGTGCTCTTTTCCTTTTTGCTGCAAGAATTAATCCTGCAAGCACCAATGCTAATAGAATAAAACCAGCACTTGCTGCACCTATTAGTAGCCACGCATCTCTTTTTCTTGAAAGCGCCAATGGTCGTGTTTCTTTCAAGTAAGCTATATACATATATATGTATAAAATATATATTTCTTTTTTAAATAGTTTGTGCTTAAAAATGTGATTATTATCGCTATTTAAAACTACTTGAACTTTAATCGTTACTCTCGTAGGTATTACGGATTACAATTTTAATTTTTAAAACAAAATTCTATCCAAGTTACAGATTTTTTTTAAATACCAAAAGGTAAAAATTACGAGAAGAAATAAATATTACGAAGTATTTTCTTTTATATGGAAACAGAAAAATTGACAAAGTGAAAGAAACATCAACATTTACGTTCACTTTGAATAAGAACTGGTGCACCAAGTTCCAATGCGACTTCCTGAGGTGACAAGAGAGCCATATCCCTGGCAGCTGTTTCAGCAGGTACAGGTTTTCCACCGAGGTGAACAGAGTAAATCAACTTCGTGGCACCACCTTCCATCACACTTGTATTTTGCATTTTAACTTGAATAATCTCCTCTTTGGAAGGATCCAGTAAGCGTAATTCTAAACGTTTGTTCGTATTTATATTTTCTGCATCGATATCACTTAATACTTGTTTTTGTGGTGTTGGATAATTGTCTGAGAGATTCTGAAAATTATGCACTGCAGAAGATAAATTAATGGATACATCATCATGCAAGTATTGTTGGCTCGTATAATCTGTGGTAGTTTCATTAAAATCCATTACTGCTGTTGTAGTAGATATATTTTGACTAGATGATTCTTCCTGTTCTTCAATAACATTCAATTTTTTTAATTGAAAATCGTCCATGTGAGTACGTTCATTGTGACTTTTAATATCATTGATATCAGATGTTGGAAGAAGAGTATTCCTAAACTTTGATAGTTGAAGCATTTTTACAGGTTTTAGTATTGTAGAAACTTGAGATTCCGAATTCGTTTCAACCCCTAATTTAGCCGATGATTTTGCCGAATTCTCAAATATTTTTTCTTGATTGGTGATCTCTGGCTGAAAGAATGTTTATAATTATATTCCACGTTTTATTCTATATTTACTTGTTTAGTTACAAACCTAAAATATGAATAATGATACAACATATCTTTCTACTAAATGTACCTTGCTTTTAACAAGTGCTCGTTCCCTGGCAATTCTTTGAAATCGTAAGTCTGTTGGTAAAAGACCAAGATGATGTTGTTGCTGCCTCGAAAATGCTGTTCGATATAGGCGAGCTAATTTTAATTCAATTTTAGGGGGTATAGCTTCACCTGCACGAAGAACTGTTAGCAACCAGTACCTAAAATGTAACAAATAAGGAAAACCATTAATTACAACAATTAAAGAATCTAGAAAAAAACAATTTATTTATTTTAAAAAATTCTACATACATATTATAATAATTTAAATACATACCTTGGTCCAGGATCTTCTCCAACAAGAACGCCAATATTTTGATCCGCATCATCGTCTAATCTAGGCGTGGGTTCGATGCATGTAGTACATTTTGGATCATTAGAATCAGTACCATGAGGAAATATTGGCTCGTGGTTGTCTTTATCATCGACAGGTGAATACAGTGTTACAGTATGATGAACCGTTCTGGTTTCATAAAACGTCAGGCCTTGATTCGGGTCTACCCATAGTGGCGCATCTTTAACATCGGTCCAAAAGAAGTCCTGAAGATGAACTCGACGTCCTGGCAGGTGTTCGATTAGAATAATTTCGTCCTCTAGAATAAAAAATAACTTACATCTAAATGATTTCCTTTCACAAATGACGATTTTAATACCTGTAAAGAAGATAAAAAATAATTTTTTAAATTAAAAAAAATAATTTCATTGACAATATATATTTTTAAGTATAATAATTCGACATTTTTGTGTACACTTAATTGTGAGAGAAGAATAGGGAAGTACAATCGTACTGATGCGTGGAAGCTTCACTTTTCTAGGAATTTATTAAACGTCGATAAGGACAATGACCTATGCAACCATGCAACATCAACATGACACAGGCAAACTTGATCATAAGCTTTGTTCAATGCCAAACACGCCTATGTATAGAACAAATGATTGAGTTTGGATAGGATTATCACGCTATCTCTTGCTTTCATTAAAACTGCACGCTGCTCGTGCACGAGACGACGAAAAATAGTACTTGAAGAATTATCGAACAATTATTACTTTATAAGAGAAAACACGGAAGTCACCGAGAGAGTATATTTCAAACTTTCCTCTGGCTTAGTATTTAATACAAATCACGCAATTTAATGCGTCTAAAAACTGAGAATATACTCTGGATAATTACGAGAGTGTGTATTTAAAAATTAAAATCTATTACATAGTGTTTTTATAGAAAAAGAAATTACTACATAAAACTAGTTGTA